CTCAAAGACGTTACAGCCTGTAGAGCAGTGGGAGAATCTAGGCTCCATAAAATATTTGGAACCACCCCCTCCTTCTAATGGGGGCTTTTCATTTCTCCTGAGATAGACACTGGAAGCGGCTCTGATCCCCACTCTCAGGTGTGCGGCTCCTTACCAGGAAGGGCCTCAGGAACAATTCCCAAACTGCAATATTCGGCTTTCTAAAGGGCAAGGAAACACAGGGAACCTGTGAAGATGGATTAGAAGATGCTTTTTTAACCTGAAAAGGGGGCTAACCCAAAAAGTATCAACACCATGAAATGGCACAGGAATCCAATGCTTGTTGGCCACCTGATTTCTAAAAGAGGAATCACCAAAGAAGCAAGGCTCTCCTATCCTGGGCATGGACGAAGGTCCATCGAGGCCTGCCTTCACCCCAGCCTCTGCTTCCAACTCTTTCAGACCTACTGGTTTACAGAGGACTGACTTGGGAGCCACCCGCAGGGAGGCACACGCTCCTTCTCTGCACGGTTCACCGCATGGTTGCCCTGGCACAAGGAAAGGGGTGCTGGCACCTGTAACGTGAGGATCAGAGCCTTCACGGACCCTAACTGTGGAGCCCCTTCAGGGAACCGAGAAGGTTCGCTCTGCTTGCATCCTCTTCCCACACCCCTGCAAAGGCTCTGGGACGCCTGAAGACTGAACGAAACATTTCCCATCAGTTCATATTCTTTAAAGGCAGTCAGATCTCAAATAGTCTCTAAAAGACCGAGGAAAGATCGTTCTAAGTAAAATGTGATCTCAAGTTAAAAACACACTACTCCACTGCCACTGGTCTCTCTAACCAGACTCTCAGACTTTCAGGAGGGTCTGATGAGAGAGAGAGAGGAGTGAAAATGGGGGTCTACAAAGCAGTGTCAACGGGACTGGTCTCTGAGCAAGATGCTACAGTTAGGCCTCAGCCCACATACCTGCTGCTGTAGGATGTGCCCAAGAAATGCAAGCTTAAACCTATTCTTTTATGTCAAGACCCGGGAACTGTGTCAAGTATATCGTCAGTGGGGCAGCTGGTGAACTGATCCCATTTCTGCTCCTTTTGCTTCAGGTGCAGCATCATTCCAGAAAAGTGCCAAAGCTAAGACACGGGTCATACAATGGTCTCAGTCGTACAGAATAAAGAGAAAATTCATCGAAATACACAGATTGGGGAAGAAGAATTAGAGGGGGACAAAACTACCTGACAGAAATTTTAAGCCAACTTGACATATTTTAAAGGTCCCTTTCATGATGTGTGGAAGCTAGATGCACGAAGTTAATAGGTAGAAATCTTTCAGTTTTCAAATGTTAGTGAACAAAGAGTTTCCTCACATAAGGACTTCACATATTATTTTGCTGTTATTCTACTTCCAAATTTTAATGAAAATTGCTAGGGATGAGCTGTTGTTTAGTTGGAGAGGGAACCAGTGCTTTCCACAGGCAAGCCCAGTGGGGCAGAATGTACCCAGATGCCCATGAAAACAATTTCTCCTTCTCTCAAGGGAAAGCAAGGCCCACGCTGGTGGAGGTGACTTGTTAAGAGTTTTTGTTAATAAAACCAGCATCCTGAAGGGAAAAGGGAAAAATAAGTCACTGGGATATTTTTCCTAATGCTAGAAAATAAATAGGAAAGGTAAATTTCTCCTTTTAAAAATAAAGCAACAAATCGACCATGCAACAACATAGGAAGGAAATGCCTAGCCCCCCTTTCACGAATGCGGCCCAAATGCCTGTGGCTTTCCGCATGTGCTCTGTTTCTAAACATGCACTTGGAGGGCGCATTAGGAAGTGAACATGCTTAATCACAAAGCAGTGTGGTACTGTGTTTCTCTTGTGTAGAGGCACACAGGCACTCTCTTCCTGTCTCCCCCAACAAAGCCGACACATCTCTGCTGCTGGATTTGCTAACTTTTCTACTGGAATGTATCGGGGGGCCTTTACCTGTTTTGTGTCTTAAATGACAAGGCCTCTGAGACCCAATCTTTGCTCTCATCAGCAACCCATCCTCTGCTTCCATCTCTGCACCCCCCCTGGGTGGCTTTCCCCAAGCCTTAGCTGTCCCAAAGAGGCCAGACAGCTCTAATCAGTCAGTTGACTTTTCAGCCAGCATTACATACATCGTTAATGTAGAAGTCTGAAAAGGTTTGATGCTTTTTACATCGACTTAAGAGATTAAAGATAAAATAAAACCATCATCCATCTAATAAATAAGAAATTATCTCCGAGGGTGCCGACGGCTTGGGAAGGTCCTCAGCGTCGTATGTCTGTGGAAGACGTCAGGCTGGTTGAGGGTCTCGTGGACAGAGACAGAGGACATACACAGTTCCTCTTACCCTTGGCATCTTCATGTGGCAAACAGTTACCCTTCCTCCGCCTTCTTCTCCAATAAGCGGATGAGGAAAAACTCAACTATGGCAACCTCCAGTTTTGGGCAGGATGGACACCATTGTGGGGAGAGGAGTCCATTAAAAAGAAACATAGCCCAGCCTCCGTGACCGGCAGAAGGCAACCACACCTACACCTGGGTTCAGGTGCGGACAGATGCACACACCTTAGCTAGGTAAACAGGAAGTCCACCCCTTTGCAATTCTTTTTTGACCAGTCTTTAAACTGTGGTCCACTGATTTCTTCTTTAGGTCACACCAAATAACCCCAAGCAGACAGATTTCTTGACAGAGTTTCGAAGGAAGGCCCACAAAAGACAAAAAGGCTGCACAGGTGATTGCAGGCAGAGTAGGAAGGTCTGTCGGCTCGTCCTGAAGAAGTCCTTTCTTCCTCAGGCTGCCGCAGTCTACCTGGCCAAACTCCCTCTGGGCTCTTCAGACCACTGGAAGGAAGGAGAGACAAGTTAAGTTCTGCATGCCAGACCCCAGCCATGCTAGGAAGACAAGCTTGGGACAGAAGCTTGGAGATGCATCAGCCAATGTCACCGGGTTCTCTGGGGCAGTCAGGCCCAGGTCCAAGGTCCTCTGGTTCAACCTCAGGGGCAGCAGCTTCTGAAATTGTACTTTTAGTGCCAAAGGAAAGGCTGAAGAGAATGGGGATGCACCGTGTTATGAGGGCCTTCGTTCAACTGGAGGACAGTCAGCCCAGCCTGTGCTGGTGCCTCTGTAAGGGGTGGCTTCATGGGCAGCCAAGGAGCTGGCTGAGGGCTCTGGTGGCAGAATGGCTTCTCCTCAGGCCATATGAGAATGGACTCGTTTGTTTCTCAATGGGTGGGGCTCTGAGGCATCCTCTGTGGCTCACGGGAGGCAGCACGGACTTAGCTCCCCACAGCTCAAGAATCCAGCTTGGCCCGGACATCTTCCTGCCCTGGTCCCTCCTGTGGTTCCTCTGGAGGTGGAGAGGTATGCATCATCTCAGGGAGGGGGCTTTAGCCTCAGTGCCCATCTCTGGAAGGCCGGACCCATCTGAGGCTCCAAGCTAATGTCCTCCCAAATGTGGGTAGAGAAGTGACATTAATAAGAAACTACCCCAAATGACTCTGCTGAGGTGCACACAAATAGTACAAAATCTACTATAAATTTTAAATAATTTCTCCACTGGTGCTAAATAACAAAATAAGAAGCGTGTTAGCTCAATGGATGGTCCTCCGAGTCAGTGGAAGAGAGATTTGAGTGGAGTCTTCAGAGTTCCTGGCTCGCATCCTAGCTCCCCCATGGACTTACGGTGGGATGCATGCAGAACTTTGGCAGACTCAGTTTACCTACATCACTGACAAATCCTCTTCCTCTGAAGGCCATTATGAGGACTGATGGATTAACATCCTCAAGAGTTACGGGCCCCCTGCTTAAAAAGACCTGCTCATGCATGATTACTACAGGTCCTGAATAACCTGCTCCTGGGCCTTCAGCACCTTCCAGGTCAGACCGCCAGGAGGTTTAGTGAACACGCCGGTGCTCCAGCTTCCCAGTCGCCCTTCTTCCTACTCTGTTCATGCAACCTTGAGCTTCTGGAATGCCAACTGTTTACTAGAGAAGGTCACTCTTGGTGGATTAGCCTGTGGTGACTGTCTCTTGTCTCACTACTTCCTGAAAAGGAACTTTAAATTTATAATGGGCTCTGCTGGTCAAAAGAGCATTTTAGAAAAATTTGTTGATGTGCAACTTTTCAGAACTCGTCTTGATAAAAGAGCTGTTGGTCTCCGTGAGCCCCAAGCTAGTAATGCTCAGATGAGGACTCCTGAGGTGCGGGTTTGGTTCCACATCAGGATGCCCGATATTCGTCGTGGGTGTCAGTGAAAATGTTCATGAAACATCAGACATCAAAGCTTAATGAAGATCACGGGATGTAAGAGCTAAAGAGTCCTGAGAGACCTGTAGGTTAAATCCCTAATTTCACCAATGGGAAAAGGAAGGGGACTTTCTCAAGGGAAAGAGAACAGACATCGGTTGTGTGTCTACAACCTGTGGTACACTGTACTAGGTACTTTATGTAGGTACTCATTCAATTTGCACATCTTTTAAATAAGAAAACAGATGCTCAGAGAGGTTAATTAACTTGTCAAAGGTCACACAGGCCAGTAAAGATAAAAGAGCTTCCTTTTGTAAAAATTTTTTAAAATGTTTATTTTTATGAGAGAGAGACAGAGTGCATGTGAGGGAGGGGCAGAGAGAGAGAGAGAGAGAGAGAGAGAGAGAGAGAGAGACACACACACACACACACACACAGAATCCGAAGCAGTCTCCGGGCTCTGGAGCCCAACGTGGGGCTCAAACTCATGAGCCCTGAGATCATGACTTGAGCTGAAGTTGGAAGGTTAACCGACTGAGCCACCCAGGTGCCCCAAAAGAGCTTCCTTCTGTGTAAAACATACCTCAGAATAAACTAAACTTGACTTGGTAGGATAAACGTCCTCTCCCTTTTCTCCCTCTTCCTGCTACACCCTCTAAGAACTTCTGCCCTGCCCTGGAGAAGGTGGTTGTTTTCTCCACCCAGTTGTGTCTCCCGAGGGAAAAAGGCTCCTCCCCGAGGCAGCCCCTTACCTGTCTCTGAGTGGCAGCAAGCAGTCCTTCCCTTCAGCAGGGCACTGGGCTTCTCGTGCCGGCAGATGAGGGCCTGGCACCACTCACAGTGTTTCCGGACCTGGCAGCAGCTGCAGACACAGAGAACACGGGCTGGGCGGGAGCCTGGCAGGAGTGCTCGGCTGGTGCAGTGTCTGCCTAAAGAGCCTGCTGGGCAGCTCTAGGCTCTGAACCGGCCTTCCTTTGGAGGCCTCTGGAGGGACAGACACACACAGCAGGTGGCCGAGTGTCTTGCAGGATGGTGTCTTTTGGGGGAAGAGGCCAGCTAACAAGAGCACCTGTTGGTCACTTCAAGGAACCGCCTCTGTTTGCACAGCTCTGCTTTGGGCTTGCAGGGCAACCTGACCACCCACCCGGTTGCTCTGTCCATAAAGCAGCAGTTGGGTGACTCCCTAAATGTAGTAATGGCCTCAGCACTGCTGTCAGGACTGGGACAAAGCAGCCACTTCAGGCTGGCAGGGCTGTGAGGGCTTGGGGAGGGGAATCGTCCATCAGTATTGCCAGCAGCATGGCTGAACTGACCCGTGGAAAGAATGAAAGAATGAGTCATGAGTCTCTGTGGTTTTGAATCTCTCTCTGAGGACTAATACTCTCTAGTTGTGGCAAACCCAACCTCTTGGTGAACCTCTGTCACCCAGAGTCCTGAAGCATCAGAGTTATGAATGCTCCTGCCTTCTTCTGTGGGCAGGAATGAATAGTTTGCAGAGTTAGCATGAAAAAAGAGTCAGGGAGCCCAAAAGGAGGGCAGAGAAGCAAGCACGGAGTAAGACATTGATTACCTAGAGACACTTAGAGCTGTATCCTGTGGGATACTGCAGAGGACTTTGTTTCTACTCATTCTAACCTTGACATGGGCATAATCCATGCATCCACCCACCGGGGCTGGGCAGGGTCTCCTGGTGGACATGGGCCCGGAGTCAAGTGAGAAAACGATCCCCTGTTGCTGTGCTTCCCTCTTGGTACCTGGTGGCATCTCATGACCTCTACCCTAGCCCCTCTTTCCTGGTGCTGTCCTGGGAAGGCTACCAGGGCCCCCAAATCTTTGGGCAGCAGAGCCTAGAAGGAGCCCAAGACCTTTCCGCCCAACATACTTCTGCCACGGTGGTCAGAGCAGTCCATCTCGGCATGCCGCCCTCCTGATCGTAGAGTCCAAGATCGGGAAGGATCTAGAGGATCTGATTACAGATCCACCAGAGACTGTTCTTTTGCAGTCAGCTAGCAGTGGGCTTACTCCAGTCACTGCCTAACAAGGAGCATCCATCCCAGGGCAGTGAGACCAAGGCCTCCAGGTCCCTCTGGCATGAGATAAGCTGGTCCCAACCAACTATGCAACTCAGGAGGGCCCCATGCCTAGGCAACCAGCAGCCTGGTTGGGGTGAGGGCTTGGTTTCTGGCTCAGGGATTCTTTCTTAAAATGTTTATTTATTTTGAGAAAGGTGGGGGAAGAGGGAGAGAAGAAAAGAGGGGGAGGGAGAGGGAGAGGGAGAGGGAGAGGCAGAGCGAGGGAATCCCAAGCAGGCTCCACACTGAGTGTGGGGCCCAATGCAGGGTTCAACCTCACAACCATCATGACCTGAGCCGAAATCAAGAGTCACTTAACTGACTGAGCTACCCAAGTGCCCCTGGCTCAGGGATTCTGACCTTGGTCTTTGGCAAGGATAGGCTGGGAAAAGACAGAAGAGAGGAGGGACTGGCTGCCTCCTTGAGAATGAGAGAGGCTGCCCAGGAATCCTAAATTGTCCCTGTCTTCAGAGAATCTGGCAAAATTGCTTTTAAATCCCTTTGAAGAAGCTCACGGAGGCACCAAATCTTGTTCCCAAGACTCTGGAACCCTCCTGGCCATAGAAATAGGACTATGGAAATGATGGGTGTGCACACAGCTAGTCATGAGAACTGTCGTTGTGAGTGGCAGAGCCTGGGCTACGCCCCCCAGTCTCAACCAGAGCTGTCTGCCTACCACCTTTTCCAAGGCAGGTGAGAGTGGAACAGACACTGCTTGAAGTGGAAGGAAAGGCCAGCTCAATCGAACCTCATCCCTCACCACTTAGTGCTGGCTTGGGCCAGGAGAAGGATGTGAAACTATGGCTCTGAGGGGCACTCCATTCGCTGCCAGAACCAGGTTGCCCCAACAGCAACAAACCAATAAATAAACAGGACAGAGACTCATAATTATCTGTCCAAATTCCAGACAACCTTAGAGGGCTGAAGTCTGGCTTCCTTCATTAACACACAGCCGCTTACTCCAGCCTTTGCCGGAATGGCCCATCCACTAGTCTCTGCCATGAGTTAATCCACACCGAGCTGACTGGTAGCCTTTAGTTATTCTGTGGATTCCTTGTGCATATCCAATTAGATATAAATTCTCAGAGGACTTGCTCTGTGAATTAGAGGTCTCTAGATATTTCCGGGGAATAAATCTGGCCAGCTGCTGCGAATACAGAACTTGGGTGTCTGCCTTTGTGGAGCAGTCCCGTTGGGAGATACAGGCGAGCAAGCAGGTCCAAGAACAGGGTGTCTACTGGCTCGGGAAGATGTTCTGGAAGAAGCAGGACAGAAACTGAGTTTTGGAAGCTGAGGAGGGGCAGAGACATGGAGAAGGGCTGTCACCAGCCTGTCAAAATAACAACCAAGACCTTTGACGTGGCTTTGGGATTTGCAAAGTGACTTTGGCGGAGAGGAAGCACCTCTGCCACTTGCTAAATGAGGCTGAGAGCCATTTCTAGTTCCTCTGGAACACCTGCACGTTGCTATCACAACTCTGAAGGCTCCAAACCCAACAGCAGGAGAGAGCACGTGCCTTTGCTTCTATGCCAGCTTCCAGCAATGTGCAGACTCACTGCTGGGGGACCTTCCCAGGATGTGTGTCCTTCACACAGCCTGGCTGTTACCGGAGTTCCTCTTGGCTTTGCTGACACCAGTCAGACACCACAGAATAAACCATGCCGAGGTGGCCCGGCTATCTGGGCATGCCGCAAATGTCCCGGACAGGGCCTCGAACTTAGGGGCAGCAAATACTTACTGTATCAGCACACATGCGATGATGAGGACAGCCAGGGCCACGATGGAGACCACCACCAGGGCGGTGATGGCTTGCTTCTTCTGGCTGGCGGCCACCACAGCCAGGAGGTCGGCATGCTCACAGCGTGCACCGACATACCCAGAATGGCAGCTGGGGAAGAAAGGAATGTCAGCATGCTCTTCTGATGGAAGGTCTTGTTCCCCCATCTTCCCCTAGGAAGGCTGGGCCAGAGGGACCCAAAGCCCTAGGAAAAGCCCAAAGGGGCCCCTCCAGCCTCTGCTATTGGATGCAAAGGGATCAGCAAACTCCCTGCCATCTCCCTGAATGGGCACCTCTTCCTTGGAGAATGAGGAGTAACTAATCGGCTTGCTCATCTGTGGAAGCATTCATTATCATTGTTACCATGTCAGATGGTGGGGATAGAGAAGGCAGCAAACGTGTTCAGGACACGAAGTTCATTTTGGCAGTTCATAAAAAGCCAGGTTATTTTTAAACTAAGTGTGTGTATTCAGAATTCGATGGTGAGAGAGAGAACACACGCTAACCCAGAGGGAGACACAGGCTGTGGTTTGCTTTTTTATCCTCTTCATCACATTTAATTAGCCCTGCAAGCATTTACCCAGTGCCCGGCACACGGGGTGGGGGTGGGGGCGTACTCAAGTAGGGGCCGGTGCCACTCTCTGGGAAATGCAGGGCTTGAGAAGCCACTAGTCTGCTTCTCATTTCCAACACCACCTGGCCTCATTCCACTGGAGGAGGATCAGTAAAGGGCACAAAAGAGGCCATGCTCTTGAACGTGCACATGGCCTGTGAAGGGCAATACTGACACAAGGGGATTTTATTACTGGTATTGCTAGTATCCAAGGGCTCTTTCGCTTCTGTAATAGCCTCCTCCTGTGTGCAGAAGGCTGTTGCTACTCCTTCCATATATATAACTCTTGCTTATGCTAACCTCCCCACCCCCTCAATCCTGGGGCAGCCACAAGTGGTTCTTGGAGGATGAACCCTCAGGAAAGGTTCTAGTCATAAGGAAGGGATGCTCATTTTCTGATGAAGGCATTTTTCCCCCCCTCCAAGCATAGGGTTCTTCTCAACAGAAGATACTTTGCTTAGGTACAGGTCCCTTTGTTCGGGTGATTTTGTTATTATAAAGAAAATGGTTGATCACCATCGTCTTCTCAGGTGGGGAAGTTTCCTTCCCACGGGGGACTTCCCCAAGAGCAGCCCTGCACCAAACATCACACACTGGATTTAAAGTTTTGTTTTGGTTTCCCCCCCAGCCATGGCAATGATAGCTGTAAACTTTTTTTTTTTTTTTTCCCAAGAGTCTACCTTTTGATGAAGTAGTCAGTCTCTCTCCTTCACTTTTAGATTTAAAGGCCTTTGAAGAACAAGGAGAAATAAAAGGGGATTAAGGGTTCTGGTTGCCTGCTATTGTGCCCAGGGCCAGCCCCAAGGGTGTTACATTTGTGGTTCCCCTACACCTGGACTCCTGGGCCACCAGACCCCAGATGCCAGAGGGATCCTTGGGGCCACAGGATAAACACAGTATCTTTTTCTGGAACACAGGTTTTGCTCAATGTTAACAAAAATGTAATAATTTTCATGTTAAAGGAACAGGTAGTGTAGAGTTTAAGATTTGTGACAAACAGGAGATACTGCGAAAATTGCTGGTTAAGGCTTCACCCTGAACTACCACAGCATAGAAGCTTGTCTCTAGCACTGCTTAATGGAAAAGTCTTTTGTGGGGGCTCTTTGTCCCATAGCCCACTTGTTATATACCTTTCTTAAAGGGTTTTTTTTTTTTTTTCAGTTTGAATTCAGGCCCTTGCTTTTCTGTTAAGGGTTATTGTACATTTCACCTACGTTTTCCCATTTAATCCTTGCACAGAAAAGTCAAAGTCATTTGCCTGTGTCACACTGCTGGACAAGAGAGAAATTCACACCCAGGTCTGTTTAGCCCAGAGTCTGGATTCTTGCTCATTCATCAGGCTGCTTCCCCCCACATACTCAAAAGGGATTGGGGTAAGAATGCCACAGGTTAAGCTCTTGATCAAACGTGCCTTTTGGTTTAGGCTCCAATCTTGAAAAGGTAAAAGAGATTTGAAGTTTTCAGTTCAACAAAGGTGCACATAAAGAAGCTGAGGAGGGCCAACTAGGACACAGGGCACCATGTAGGGTTCTCTACAGACCCGAGGACAAGAGAGCAGCCTCCAGATGCAGGAGGGACAAAGTCGTAGAGGGGGATCTCTAGCAAGACTTTCCTTAAAAAGGATCTAGATCACAGAACTCTTGACTGTCCCAGTCCTGGGCTGAGGGAGGAGACTGAGGGCGTGTGGGCCAGGGGCAGGTTTTTGTTTGGTTTTAATAACAAAATTATGTGAAGGTCAAAATCAAGAAACAGCTCAACCTGTGGGCTGTGGAGAAAACAAAGGCACTGGCCCCTTCCCACTGGGGGAAGCAGACAGTGGACTGGACCGGAGGCTGATGGGCTAAGCAACAGTGGAGGTGCCGCATAGATCGAAGCTGTCAGCATCCGGAGAGAAGCCTGTATGGGATCCCTGTTCCAGCCTGACCTTCAGTTTCACCCTGCACCCAGTTGGCTCCCTGTGGACTTCCACTTTTTGGTATTTGACACCCCCTCTCTGCAGGGCCTGAATCCTCTCCATTTTATCTCCCATAACCTAGGTTCCAGCCAACCCAAGATGTGGGCCCCCCCCCCCCAGCCCAGTGTCAAATAAACCAGTGCCGGGCATATAGGTACATGGACATACCTGCCTGGTCTATGCATGATCACCTACCACTCTCCATTTGCCCATCTCACCTCCTGCCACCTTCTCTGACTGGAATGTTATTCCTCACTCTCCCCATCAGACTCCGTCTCAAAGATCACATTCTCCAAAAAGGTAATTTACAGACTCATTCCTTCACCCAGTCACCCATACATCCGTTTGCCTTATCTCTTTGCGTGGATCTAACTTCGCCTCTTCTGAACGCCCTCAGAATCACTGCCCTCCCCACCAGCCTCACTTCAGGTCAGTCTCCGTGCTCCTTCGGGCAAGACCCAGGTCTACAAAGACTGGTGAACCACTGAACAGGAGGGGGCTGAGGAGGTTGGGCCTTGGGATCAACTGTCACATTCCTCCTCGGGACTTGCAGCCAAGCCAATGGGACGTCTACAGACAGGTGTTTATGCTGCTTCCTCCCAGGGCAGTGCAGTGAGGATCTGTGTAACTATCTGTGAGAGGTCCAGGCTAAGCACTCCTATTTCCGAAATAGTCCTACTCTGACCTGCAGGCCCTTGGGAGAGAAGGATTCTAACACCTTCACAACCACTTGGTTCTGCAAACCTTACGGATTAACACATCAATGCTGGGGACTCCAAGAAAACCTGTTTAAATAAACGAGCAGCAGCCAAGCGCTAATTACAACACACACCATTTATTGCAGGCACTGTGCCAAACTTCCATATGAATCCATCTCTCTTATTCCCAACAATCACAGCTGCATGTGAGGTCAGCGTTGCTATTTACCTTCTTTACAGATGAGGAAACAGGGGCTTCTGGGCTTAAAAACTAACAATCTCAACCATGAAGGCTACCTTTCTAGGGTAATGCAGACTGGTCTGGAAGATACTCTGGGACAGTGATTTCGTGACAAGCTCACAAACCTCACTGCAAAAAGGCCAGGTTGCTCACTCCCCTGTAAAGAGGTCTCCTTGCTGTGGTGTGGCAAGGTGCCAAGATGCCCCCAGACGGTGTAGTCTTAACTCACTAAGAAAGAGAACTCTTTGGGCTGGGTCACCTTTTGCTGATCTTCCATATTCTTCCTTCCAGAGGAACATTTCCCATTTGTGTGCTGGGCCCTTCACAACCAGCTCTGCCTCAAAAACACCCCTGGCAGGGGTCCTAGCCCACCGGGAAAGTCTTCATGTCAACAGGAATGCCCCAGTCACCTAGTGTCACGGCTGCAAACACTCACATTTCAGTCTCATTGAATTAGGGAGCCCAATGTGCCTATGAACGAAAACTTCTCCAGCGAGGCACAGGAGGCACACGGGTTGCTGCCTAACAGGCGAGACTCTAGGTCATGGCCTAGGTGAGCTCTGAGAATAGCAGATCTTAGCCCCAGGCAGCACGACTACAGCTGGGAGGCAGCATAACCTGTGGTTCAGATCCTTGGGCTTTACCCAAGATCCGAATTTCTCTGAAAATGGGTGTTTTGAAGAAAAGGCCAAAGGTAATTCTGATGAAGCCAGAGTTGAGAGCCACCATGAAGGTTTTACTAGTGACATCGACTTTGGCCGCCCACTGGAATTGCCTGGGGAACTTGAAAAAATCCTGATGTCCAGGCCATACCCTAGACCAACTGTATCAAAATCTCTGGGAGTAAGGCCTGAGTATTAGTATTTTTAAAGCTCCTCGATGATTCCCCCAGGAAGCTAAAGTTGACAGCCACAATTTAGAATTTTTGGCCTTGAGATTGCGGGAGGTTCTTTCTCCTCCCCAATCGTTGGTAGTAATGGGGATGCTTCGCAGTTGCTTTTTATAAGGTGGGGAAAAAGAAAAGTTTTGGTGACATACCTTTTTTTTTTTTTTTTTTTTAAACTTCCCAAGCTTCTACTGATACCCGACTTAATTATGCCCATTATTTTAGGTACAAGTCACATAAGGAGGGGAAGAGTCATCTCACCTGGTTGCAAATGAATCATGCTTGACTCAGTTAAGGTCCTGTACTTTACCTCAAGTAGGCCTTGGTTCCCACCTGACTACACAGTACAACCACCAGGGAAGATTTGGAAAATGCCAAGGCCAAGGTCACACCCCCAGAAATGCCCATCCAAGTGGAGTGGGCACCCAGGTGATTCAAATGTGCATCCAGGCCTGAGAACCACTGAGGTAGAACTATTATTTAAGTACACAATCAAGAACCAACAACTCAAAACCTACTATTTCTAAGTCTCCTTTCTCCTTCCCTCCTTCTGGGCATTGCCCCAGGATGGTGGCTATAAAATGGGCCCCCTCCTATCAGGCGCAGGAGAAATGGGAGATGCTATCCCCCTGTTTAAGAAAGGAATCTGAATAAAATAGGAGTCATTTTATCACAAGGGTGGAATGGAAAATGTGTAAGACTGAACATGTCCTTACATC